CTTTCTACTCCAATTAGATAAGATATATTTATTCAATCAAGTTTCCATAAATCCAAATTCAAAATCCAAATAATTTCTGATAGCAGTACTTTTCTAAATGGTTTCAAAATATCATTACAATGTGATAATATCTAATAAAATATATATAGCAACGCCAAGCAAAGTCCACTATTATTTTAATCTATTTAAGATTACAGTATATAAACTATATAGTATAGTATATAGTAAAATTATTATATATATTGTTTCAAAATTTTTATTTAACAATTTAATATCAAGAAGAAAATTGTTTTAGTTTTGTCACTGCTTAATACCCCTTTAAAAAAATTTTCAGACTGTCCATATGTAAACCATCTAATATAGATTAGATGGTGTATACGAACTCCTATATCTAGACATATTTGGAATAAAATCGACTGCATACATAACAGAATAATAGCCGGCACATATCCCATATCTTGAATATAAACATAAAATCGGAAATACTGACACGAAAAAGTAATCTCAATATAAACAGTATACTTTTTAATTTACTTTTTTATATATAACTTCGAAAGATGAACACTAAGAAGAGCAGATGGCACCTATCCTAAAGAAGATAATGACGGCAAGTATTAGTAATGTGACAACTACTAGCAACGTTGAATTCCTCTGGGATAATATCACGGAAAGGCATTGTCAAAAGTACATACGAAATGCTCATCAAAGCTGATTTGTAAAAAATTAAAATAATTCAAATAGAAAATATGCGGTATACTGGCTCTCAATGGATCTTTTTTGTTTCGTACCAAATCTTACTGAACAGAGAATATTCCACCCAACACAAATCAGATAGCGATAGGATATGTCGGTTCAATAATCTTCTTTTGGGTCAGTCAGCAATTTGAGTTCTCAGAGAGACTAATTCTTTTGAAAAGATAATGCAGATCATGAATACACATTAGAGAATCCAACAATTACCTCAACTTTAAAATGGAACTTTCTACTATTGTAGAAAGGAACCGAGTTTTTATCCATGCAGTTACATAACCTCTCTCTCTAGTAATGAGTTTTTTTGGTTACTTTTTCTATCAGTGATCTTATTGTAAACCAAAGAGCTGTGTATGCTAATGATCATTGTGATATGTAATCCCATAAGCTAATAATGATGATGACAATAACTTGTCTGGTTGCTATATGATATAAATTAACTTTATGCGTTCGCAAATAATCCTTAAAACTTTATTTTTATATGGCAGCGATATCCATACGTGATAAATAAGTTTTGAAAAAATTTTCATATATTTCATGGACTTGAAAACTCGGCTAAATTCAATACTGTTGTGCGTGTCAATATATATATAAAATATTTATTTATCTAATAATTATACTTGTATATGGATGCATAGCTCAGAATCCTATAACTCTAAAAGCGGGTCGCTAACGTATAACAAGTGCAAGAGCCCTGTTTAATTTTGTTACTATATATATAGGTATTGAAGCCCTAATAAAGTTACATGTAATTGAGTAAAAAGCTAGCGTACTTCTAAAAAGAGTGAAAGTAGTATACTAACGTATAACCAGAAGAATAGTTGTGATTTATCTGTTACTTAAAATTGAAGCTAATAAAGAAGAAAAATCTAATTTAACAAAAAACTCTTATAGAATATTGATTTTGAACAGCTGCTATTATTTCATAAAAATATGTATTTAAAAAAATCAGTACAAATAAAAAAAACGAATAAGGTGTAATTTTATTGAAACTTAAAAACAAATATTATTAAGATAATTAGACAAAAAATACTGCGTCAACATTATTAACAGAAAAATTATAGAAGAAGCATATTGTTATTTACAGGATTTTTCGACAAAAATTATTTTTTTTTTTTAATTTAGAAGAATAAATAAATTTACTGTGAATTTCTGAAGCAGTAAAAAATTGTATATTCAACATCAATAGTGATGATCAAGATTTGCCAATAATAATTCCAGGAATGGAATCGTAGGATGGCAAAAAATACCAATCTTACCAAATTTATAAAAAACTAAGAAATAATTGTTAAAATAAATATTTTACTATAAATACCATAATAAATACTGAAGGGCAAACAGTACATTTAAGTATTTTATAATTAAAACATCAAAATTTTTGGAATATTATTAGAATGAAGATACTTGCAGTATTTATCTTGGCTGTGACAATTACTATAGCAAATGCTCAATTTGTAAGATTAAGCGATCAAAATGATTGATCATAGATGTTTTTTTAAAGTATGTTTTATATTTCAGTCTTTTTTTTCGAAAACGATACTAAAAACTCAAGTTTATGCCGCCGCGGGTGAATGTGGTCTAAGGGAAGGTGCAAGTAGAGATGCTATTCGAGATCTAAAACATGGCATCTTTGCAGATGATGATCCAAATTTAAAATGTTTTGTTGATTGTGTTTTGGATAGATTGGATTTCTTTGTTGATGGTGAGATAAATGTGGATGTCATCAATGAAAAAGTTGGTTCAATTATTGGTATGGAACAACTAGAAGCTGCAATGGAAAAGTGTAATGATATCAAAGGTGAAGATAATTGTGACACCGCATATCAACTACTTAAATGTTACTACAGTAACAAACCTCCAGTTCTTTAAAAAAATCGGAATTGACTAGGATTTATAATATTTTGTTGCTTTTTCTGCTTAGTTTAATTTTAATTTTTATATTAATATGTATATGGGTATTACGATATTAACAATATATTTTTCATAAATAAAGTGAATGGAAAAGAAAAGAACTGTGTGTCTCAATAGTATACATTGCTAATCTGTTTAGAGTACTCTTTATTAAAATTATAATTCTAAACTCCTAATTAAAATTATAAATTTGGAGTTTTATTAAAGACATTTAGACACCATCTCCAATTAATGTAGTCTCATTTTTATTAGTTGAATAGTTTTGCACAACAATGATTTAAATGGATTGAAAGTACTGTATACTATAAACTATCCTTGACTATGAGGTATAAATTATCTCATAAATAAAAGGAAGACTAAGCAAAAATCGATAATAGAGCGAAATAATATATTAACTTTTATTTAAAGGATCTCTGTGATCTTACACTTACAGTTGTCGTACTAAAGTATCATTTCTGTATGAATTTTATGTGGATTTTATATGATACATGATATAGTAAACATTCTATTACGACGTTACCCACATCAACTAATTAAATAAAAACCTACCTAAATAAAAAAAAAAATTGTTGTTGCAATTCACTACTGCTCGAAACCTCTATATTAAATAAAATAGTTTTTATTAAGTAGAATAGTCACTGTCTTCATAATTGACGTTTAATCAAATTTAATATAGAGTTATAATAGAAATACATATGAATAAAAAAATATATTTTAATTTTTTATCTCGCTTTTACGAATCATAGGGTGTTATTATCATAATTTTTTCCGTGTTACATTCCTCGATTGGGTTTAAATAAAAATAAGTGACAATAAAACCTGGAACTTGAGCATTGAAAGTTTGTGCAGCCTTGGCTTCTGGTGGATAAACACGATTAGTCATCGCTTCTAATTTGACAGGCACGAGTTCTAAGCCTGGCACTTGCAGTCCAAACAAATTATATACGGACTATAAACTAATTAAATAAAATTCGATTATTTCCAAAGACCACTGATGAAGAGTACTTGGCAATACTCGAAACAGCGTTGTATGGTCAGCCAAACTTCAATAAAATTAAAATAAATTTTTGTGTTTGTCCTTTACTTCTTTCTTTGTTATTCAAAAACCCCTCTAAAGTTTAACAAATATAAAATAATGCAATAAATAACGCCTCTACAAAACAATAGTTAGTTATTAAATTAACTATTAATTAATTCTGTTCAAGTTTTAAAATGCTTCTTTCCGATAAAAATCCTCAAACTCTTAAATTAACAATCGCAGCTGCTTAATAAATGAAAAGTACGTTAATAGCAGTCCCACCAATACATAAAAAAAATACCGTATGATTTTTTAGTTACTTTTTGATATCACTCTGTATATTTAATCTGTAATTTTTTAATGTTTGACTATTTTGTTTATATTAATCACTGGATTTCAGTATACATATTATTATTTTAAGGGTATGTTAAGTTCCTACGCCGATTCTTTAAAATGTTGTAAGTAATAAATATTGTAATAAATATTATAGTATAAATTAATTTTATTCTCATACAACATTAAAATATTTATTTATGTATGTTTATTACAACAACTTTAGAATAAGTTTTAAAAAGTGCAAATATTAATATATCAACTAAAGTAAAAACAAATGGAAAAAAATGCATTAAATGTTTAACTTAAGTTGTATTAAGCACTCTGAAATTAAGAATGCCTTCTCGCATAAATTTTCAGCTTGCTTTGATATGCATTTCTCTACATTTTCATTCAATAGTTTGGGTGCCATATGCTCCAATTTAGAGGCAAAAACGTCTGCCTTAAAATTACCAGATTCATCCATAAAACCATTTCTAGTTAAAAAGCATTTAGTCATGCATTTTACATTCTCCTTCACATCGGCTCCTTTAATTAGACCAGCATGAAAATCCGCATATTCCTTATCAGTAACACCTTGTTCCTTTGCACAATCTAAAGCTATTTTCATAATACCTTCATTGGGTAGTTCACACTAAAGCAATCAAATGAGGAAATAATCATTATTTTATATATTCAGTAGGATATCTTTTCAATTTTTTTCGACTCACCGAAGCTATAGCACAGCAGGCAACTATCAAAAGTATAGAAAGTTTCATTTTGTTAACAAAATCTGAAAAGTCCGTGATAATCCGTGATGTGTGGAATTGTCAAATTGACAATTATTTTTGGGTTCTTACTAAGACTCCTCTGTGGTTTTATACTCAAAGTCGATGTCAATTATAATCACATGATGAGGCACAAAATTTTAAATCATTAAAATCGAATATCAATATTGTTTAACAAAATTTTACTAATTTTGTTTACAATTAAAATGTTAAAAAAATACATAATAGAAATTTTATTCTGATACTTATATTTTTTGCAGTCATTAGCAAATAGAATTTTATCGTTACTGTATTTAATGTTTTTATACAATAAGCCACACCTAAACTTATATAAATAATTGATCAGATTTATTATTATGGATTTAAAAAAAAACGTTCTGAAAATATCTGGAATGATCAATCTTTTATACAAACTTAATTTAAATTATAGTAACCTTGACATTGTCTATTAAAATCTCATCAACTACATTAAAACCAACAACACATGAAACTAAATTATATTTTTTTAATTAAAACCAATATAGAAGAACTTCACTCCATTAGAATTATCTGCGAAGATATCACTGATTAGTAAATAGTAATATATATAGTAAATAGTAATATACCGAACTATACTCAACAAATGGCAAGAGAAGATTAGGAGCAAACCATCGAAATATGGCAACAAAGCTGGACTGATACCAAGTATAATCACCTGACTTGAACAGAAATCGGAAGACACCAATTTCTATTTCACTCAGATGCTGACCGGACATGGATACTTTTGTAAGTACCTGTACCACATGGGAAAGATGAATCCACTTGTGATGACGCAGAGCACACCTTGTTTTACTATAATAGGCTGCTCACATTAAGAGAAGAGATAATAGCCCAAATTGGATCCATAAATTTCGAAAATATAGTGGAAAAGATGAATCGTTCAAACCCAGAGAGTTGTTGCAGGATAGAGTCATATGTGATTTAAATCCTTAAAGCGAAGAAAATGGATCTGAAAAGGACAACCAGAAACTAGGCTAATAAAAAGTGTAGAACACTAGGCTTTTTAAAAAACCAGATATCTATTTATTGCTAATGGGTAAAACAAGACAGCTGCTAATACTATAAATTATTTTCTGTTTTAATATCAGCCATCATACATTCAAGCACATGAATTTAAATATATTTTTTAAAATTAAAAACCACTCCTCAATTTTTTTCTATTCATTTAATTTACTTCTTCTTCAAGTATTTCATTATTACAATATCCTCAGAAAACTTTATCAGTCACTTCTGATTTAAACTTCTCATAGCATTGATATAACTTGAATGCAGTATCACAATTGTTTTCTCCTTTAAGTGCATTACACTCTTTCATTATTATTTTAGTTCTATCTTCACCAAGCAGTGGTCCCAATTTTTCCAATACAACATCCTCTTGCACAACACCATCCTTAATCGTACCAGCCTTTTCGAAGAAGCAATTGGCAAAACATTTAACATTATCACTTGGATTCGTAAAGTCGCGATTCTTCAATTTCGTTGCCTCTTCCACTGTGATATTTTCCTGTTTGATGCATTCCTCGCCATATTTTTGAGCTTTATCCTTCTGTTCTTCGCTCAATTTAATTGTCTAAAATATTTAGGAAGGATACTATTTAACCACCTTTAACAAATATTTTAATATTATTAAAAACCTACATCAGCTAAGATACAACTTAGATAGCCAATTATTACTATCGCAACACAGAACTTCATTTTCTTAACGTTAAGCTTGTGATTATTACACAACAAATTACAACTGAGAAGTGATACTTTCCCAGAAATTCTATTTGCTTTTATAGTTCTACGCAAGGTAGGAGAATATAAATAAAAAGAAAGCCTAAAAAGTGTTATGTCTGAAAAAGATACTTTTCTGACATTCAAAAGAAAGAGGTTTCTACCACTACTACAAAAAAAATATTGAACTTAATCATAAAAAAATATCAAAAGCATTAGTGGAATTCTTCTATACCTGAATACTATTTTTGCGTTGTGTAATTACACTCTCTGAATTTAAAATTACACAAAATAAAAAAAATTATTTTATACTAAGCCATTTAAGAAACAGTACATACAGTGAAAGCTATTTAAATTGAACACCAATGGTACCAGTAATTCTACTATTACTGAAGTGCCTGTTTAAAAGAACGCATTTAGCTTGAATAATATAAACTGGGAACTGGTTATGACTGATCTCCATTTATGAGAGCAACCGTTTAATAGGCCTTTTACTGTATATTATTTATATGGTCATAAAATAAAATTAATTCTAGTGTTGATATAGAGAAGATACCTTGATGTAACGACTGTTTTCTGTTTTTGCAAAAAGAGTTTGAATAAAAGACTTATAAATATAATAATAAAATCTAAAATTTTAATACTGCTATATTTAAGTATAATAACGAAATAAAAATAGTTGTGAATTTAATTGTAATATTACAGATGTTATATATATTAAACATACAATACATCTTATGTATAGTTCACAATGTTAAAGCAAAATTCTGCTTTAAGATATATACAATGTTCAGCTGACGGGCTCATAATCATTTAACCATATTGTTGAATTTTTTTTTTATTCTTTTAAATCTATTATTTTTATATCATTAAAAATCTTCTCATATAAAAAAAATTCACTTTTTTAATTGCTAATCGTTGTTTTGGTACTTTTTGTTTGTTGACGTTTTATGATTCAGTGAAGTGAATTGCTATTTCTAGTCATGTCATGAGTGCGGCCTGTGATTGATACTTAAAAAGATACTTCAAAATAGACAAAACTTTTAAGCAATTAATGAAACAGTTTTATGTACTTGTTAATACTCTAACTCGAAGGGTTGCATAGCATTTTGGAACCCTCAAAATTAGTATTATTAATACAAAAAATGTAAGGGAGTTAAATTTCTATATACATTCATAAGATATGACTTAAATAAATTTCAAATATGTTAAAATCGTAAATAATTTATACTTCATAACTATTTTCAGTAAAATAAAGTGGTCTTAATTTTTAAGAATTTTAACATAAATTTCGATAATTATTTTTACTATATTTCTATACGTATTTCGGCAAATTGGCCGAAAATCTCCTAATAACTTCATTAGAAGAATTTCTAATATTTTCAGTAAAAACCTTAGCTAATTCAGGTATTCCAATCCTAACTAGCTATTTCAATGAGGGGAAATATTTTAGCAAAGGATATATATAAATAGTTGAATCCAATTAGCCAAAGTTAGTTTAATTATATACTAAGACTCATGAGTACTTATCACTTGATATGTGCATTTTGATTGACAAAAACCGAATGTTCGTTTAATTTTGTAGACATTTATTGAAAACCATTTTTGCAACATTGTTAATTATTGACATATGAAACAACATAAAAAAAATTTAAAATAGTTTTAAAACATTGTAGTTCTGAACCCAATCCGTAAAAAGATAAAGGGAGTCAATCCAGACGATATTTAATGAAATAATTTATGATGAGCTGCTTGGATAACTCAGTTTTTAAATATTAAATATTTTTTGCCTAAAATATTTTTCAGTTAATCATTTTTTTACACCACACTCAAAAAAATAATTAGGTTGATTTAACCAGATTTTAACAAATCTCAGTTCAAAATATTCTTACTCAATATTCTTACACCACATGTTGGTTTTAATACTTCTTTGCCACATGAGCTTAAATGTTTCTAACAAAATGATCAGATTAATTTAACTAGTACATGGTTAAAGAATATTTGGCTGAGTGAGAGAAGATATTTTATTGTCCATATGAAAACACGCCTGAAACCCTCTTTATTATCTTAGCTGACACGAATCTCACACAACAAACAAACTTTTATTTTATTATACTGTAAATGACATAACATGTACCTTTCCTTGTAAACATATTTATTGTTATTTATTTTTATTTTAATCTTTTTATTTTTTAATTTTGTTATAATAAAAGCTATATTATATACAGTTAATGACCTAAAAATTGATCAAAAGAAATATAAAAGATTTCTAATGTCAGACAGCAAAAAAAATGTTCTCAGTAAGCTCAAACATAAGCCTTTGTTAGAGGAGTAGTTAAAAAATGGGTTTTAATCTATAACTGCATGGGACAAAGCAAATTAATTGAATTACTTGATCATTTTAATGTATTCGCAATGAATACATTACTTTGTACTTTCTATGTACTTTCTAATAGCTAATTAAGTTCATACGGAATTATATATACATATATTAAGAACTTATTTAGATATATGAGATTGAGTACAATCTCAGACTCAGAGAGTGTTAGACTCTCTTCAAACAATGAATTAAAGTTAGCCATTACTAGGTTTGTAGACATGAAGTGATTCTGAAAATCTTCATAACAGTGAAGAAACTGAACCTTATTAATAGACATGAAATATGAAAGAGAATGGTATGGTATCAATGAAGATAGAAGAACTGGAACTCCTTTTTCCGGCGTTTTGGTTCCTAAAATACGGAGTTGAATTATGGCAAACAAAAATGCAACAGTGTAAATAAAAAACTATACAACCAGATTCACACCCGAGCTCAAAAACTGAATTAAAATGACTTCCGCGAAATGACTTCAGAACGTCAAGCTATTTTTATCTGCATATGGGTACTTTCGAAAATACTTGAAATTAATTAGAAAAACTGAAAGCCCTAATTGTATATATAGAGATACGCAGACGCAGAGCATACATGTTCAATTATTGAAAGTGGAGAGCAAAAAGGAGTCAACTCGTGCGACAAGTGACCGACTCGGAGTCAGGTCACTAGTAATTGACAATTTCATACCAAGAATAACAAAAAGTGAATGGATTTGAAATCTAATTACTCAATTTATATTTTGCTTGGGGCTTAGTACCCATGTTTTAATAGAGAGGATAGCATGGGTAGCCAAAAGAGATATCCTTCCTGAAGAAATAAGAAAGCGGTTTTTCGGTAGGTAAATACCGACGAAGTTGAGAAGGTTATAATTACATATAAATATAGTAATAGTGATAACAGTGATAATACTGTGAGAGTATTATCACTGAAATGTGTTTCTATACATAAACCATATCCGCAATCAACAAATTGTCACGCAACACTATCAATAATTATCAATATCACTATCAATAATAATTTCTAACTGACATGAGATTTAATGGATGGTTTTCCTGATTTATAAAGCATTGAGTATTTGCATAAAATATATATAGCTATTTTTCATGTATTTTATTCTAGAAATTGTTGCACTTCAAGAAGTGTCTCCACACTCAGAAAAATATGCTCTAATCACATACTATCTCATGTGGTAAAGAAGACATAAAAACTAACATGTGATATGGTTGAACCAACCTGATACGTCGAATAAGAATATTTTGACCTGAGATTTAGTTAAAATCTGGTTAAATCAACCAAATTATTTTTCTGAGCGTATATTTATATATTAGTTTTAGAATTATTCGGTCATAGCTATACATGCGTACATTGTTATTTTGATTGATAACTGTAGATAATTGAATAGATTAGTATCTGTAGATTATTATCTATAGATTTGGAAGAAAAAGACATTAATATTAAATGTTTTATCTCATCAGCTTCCAATGACGTTAATTACTTGGAAAAATTAAGAGTAAGACCAATTGTATAAATAGTTTTAATTGATATTAAATTATACGTATATTAACTATATACTATACTAACTATATGTATATTTTTATGAACTTAATATTATTGCATGTCACGTATCCGTTATGATTTTTATCAAATACTTAGTATATAAAATGCCTTATTAATATAATTAATATGAAATATTTTCATCATTATATTTTCTATAAAATTCATGTTAATTACTATCATGATAATCGTTACAAGTACTTAATATGAACATTTCCACAGATGACCGCCAAATCATGTAAAATTTAATACAGATTTCTTTATATATAACGGGATGGAGCTCCAATGGAATATTTCAGTAAAGTTAGTGCATATAAACAATTACGGAAATGAGGAGTACCGAATTTATAGTTTTATCGATTTTTCTGACAGCAGCTATTGGTGCGGCAATGGCAAAAGATATGGAATTCGTGAGTCAAATATATTTCAGTCAAATATTTTCGAATATTACTCTTTTAAACTATTTGTAATTACATATATTATTTTTATGTTCTGAATATGTTTTGAAAGTCTGTGCATTAAAGATAACTTCTTTTCCTTTCTTTTAGGCCGAAAAAATGGCAAAAAAACTGAAGGTCAATATCGAGGACTGTAAATTATTATCGGAGCAAAAAAATAAAAATGGTAATAAGAATGTGTTAGGTGTTCCAAGTTCTGGTAAATCAGTTGCAATGAATTGTCCTTCATATTGTTTTGCTGAACAATTTGGTTTTATGAAAAATGAGGCCGTGAACAGTCTAGAACTTGAGAAAAAATTAAATGAATTCCAAGTAGGTAAGGAATCAGCTAAACAAGCAGCGGCAAAATGTGGACCAGTATACACTGGAGACAAATGTTCCACAGCAGATCAGCTATTCAAGTGTTTAGCTACGTCCGTACAAGAAACTAAGACAAATATCAACCATTAGGAAAGTATTAAAAGAAAACATAATATCGTATATCGGACAGTATTTATACATATTAATATTATGCTATTATTGTTATTGTCATATTAAAAAATAAATTGTTTTCAGTTTATAGTAATAATCTAGAATTTGCAAAAAAATTTTATATGTAATTTAAATGAATTAAATAAATATATACAAAATTACAATTTCAAAGGCATATATTTTAATTGATATGATTTGCGTTTAATAAATAATAGTTATCAAAAAAATAATCTAACATTTTATAGTATGACTCGATTCAATCTAATAATTATAAGTTTTTATTTAACAAGAAGAAATTATTATATGAGGGGTGCTGATTATGAAATATTTCCCCAGTGACATATATCAAGCAAAATTGTCATCCAAGGCTTCATGTGCCAATTTAACATTTGACATTCTACAATAAGAATAGAATAATAAGATTATTAATTATATTTTCATACTTATAATAATAAGTAATACTTTTCATTATATTACTTATATATATTTTCAATATCCCAAAAATATTTTATTTAAATTTGCAAATTACACTTAGTATTAAAACTGCACCTACATATGTTTGAGCAACAGTTTAATTTAATAAACAATTCCTATAATGTCACTTAATATCTAATCGGCCTCATGTATCCTTCCAACTGACTACCATCAATCGATATCGTCCTTGATTAAATGAATTTTATAATAAAAAAAAGTTGCTCACATTAAAAATACATTAGCACACGCACGAATAAATAACACCTAAATTTTTTACCGAAAGGATAATAAAAAGGATTCATACGAAGTTCCTTTTGAAAGAGTTGTAGTAACATGAAGTCCTTTAAGAAAGGAAATTATATGTCAATACATAAGAATTTATTGTCATTCCTTCGCAATTTAAGTAATTATATAGAATATTATCAGAACCTACAAGAATAGCAATCAGTTTAATATACACACACCAAACATTAACAAAGGATAACATAATTGTATGTTAGAAGATAAAACGACCCATTACAGGATATAATGTGTCATTTATCTGCCGGTTTTTGTTATTTGTTATAATATATTAACACTTTCGCTCAAGGACTTAAGCTTACTTATATTAAATGTAAACAAAATGCTAAGGTTTTAATAGTAAAAAGTCTTTTGAATCACCACAAAATTCACTGATTCAATAGCTTTTTTTATTATTTAAGACACTTTTTGGATATAATAAATTAAAAAAAATACCCTTTTTAATAAACCAAATTACAAGGATAGCAATCTCTAAGACGTTTTGTCACAAATAACTTGAATTGTAAAGTATATGAAGAATGGATGAAACTTTATTTTAATGGATGAAAGATGATTTAGAGGAAGATTTATTTTATTTTATTAAAAACAGATAAGGAAGATTTTAAATTAATTAATTCTTACATTTATTTCACTTAAGCTGTTATATAGTTTATATCACATATGTTTATTTTCTCGTTAATGGAGGAATACAACAGAATACCTATGAAACTATATTAGTTTCAATAATAAGCTTTATATAGCACACACCTTAGGAAACTCTTTAAAGTAGAAAGCTCCCAAGGAATAAAATCAATTAAAGATCTCAATTATATCTTTTACGTCTCTATCTCTTCATGATTACTTCTATGAAAGTCTTCATATACGTGTTTACACCAATTAAACAAAGGTATAATGAGGATATGGCATTACTATGACATGAGGTAGGCTAAACTTTCTGATAAGTTCTAGTCTTCTTTAAACTAATGATGATTCCAAAGCTTTCAACAGGTCATGGGTACAAGTCATATTATCTATTAATAGCCTCAAGTCTTTTCAACTGAAAAGAGTAGATCTGAATTTGTTGCAAGGTTAAACTGTTTACTTTACTTCAGTAACGATTTCTTTCGGTTTTAACTAAGTTTTTTATTAATTAGTTGTGAATCAACTTACTGTACATTAAGGCATTTTGCATTATATCCCCGCAGGAAAGGGGTTAGAATATTCCCGAGATAAAATATGCCTGTCGTAAGAGGCGGCACCATCCGACATTGTTTAGAGTGTAAAGATCAGTAAGTAAGTTTCACTTGCGACACGCAAGTAAATCTGGTACCACAACGGTCAGAGCTCGCAGCTTCGGCTATCTAAGCAATTGAGTTTGACAGTGTCGTGGTGGTTAAACCCTAAACTTACGTAGGTATAATGCTTGTATTTATTTACTCTCACTTGATGTGGAGTTGCTTTCTACAATCGGATCAGCAGAGATATAGCTAGGTCTCTTTCCTTACCAAGGGGGAAGTAATACCAAACATGTAACTTTAATTGATACCGGTGGAAATTCCATAGAATTACAATCGGGCATTTATCGGCGCATTGTGCATTTATCATATTGACAATAGACAACCACATAAACACTCGGGCCCCTGTACATAAATGCTTTTTGTGAATACAATGATTTAATTGAACTCATTTAAACATTTAAAAAAAATGTCCGTTACGCTATTATTAGTTAAAATAAAAATTGCAATTACTTAGATAACAGATACTCAGACATATTACTAATTTCATGGTTGCTAGCTATAAATCAAATGTACCTTTTTTATCGGAAATACTCATTAATCCCGATTAATTAGGATTTAAAGAAATTTATTCGATTTAAATCAAATCAAAAAAAAAAAAAAAAAAAATAAAATGATTAAAAAATCATTAATAATGATTGCAGTGGAAATGCTTTGCGTGTTGACAACTTCGTTCCATAAACAACCAGAAAAAATTAAAAAATTTTAAAAACATTGCACAAAATAAAACTGTTAATGTTTTCGTTTTAAGATTTTATCAGTTTAGCAGCTTTTAGTTGATAATCTCACAATTGTGATCCAAGCTTTTATTATACATAAATAACAATTTTATTTAAATGAAAAATACTTTAAAAAAAAACTTGTATAAAAAAGATTATTGTTTTTAAAAATAATTTTTTTTTTGTAGTTTTCACAATTTTTAATTAACAAAGTATGTGCTTAAATATTTACAAGTTTCGTATCATTTAATATTTCACTACATTGTTTAAAAACAATTACATTTATTTTTTAATTAACAAAATATGTCCTTAAATGTTTACGAATTTCTTTTCATTTTTTACTTCATTAAATTTAAACATCAGTCGTATTTTACATGAATTCATTTTTCATAAATTTGAACTTCAACTTAAAGGATTACCAAATAATAAGATCTTTTCTGTCCTTTAATATCTTAAATCTATAATCTAACCTACTTGTGACATATAGTATGAGTATCATATATGTTAACAAAATAAGTAATTTAAAATGTTGCTTCACCTTAAAAGCAAAATAAAAATTTGAAGATATAGTGAACAGACTTAAGTCAAAATTAAGTCATCTATATATAAAATCATAAATGTCACTATATATTTACAACGATCCAATGAAAGATCTATCCCGAATGGCTTCACGACAATTACCTATTTTAAGTAATTGCTCTTTTTTTTGGATATGCATGACTTTGTTTTCAGATCTCAAATATTAAAAATTCTAATCTCATTCTCTTTTCAACAGTCAGATATGTTTAGAAGTAGACAGCCTTTATAATATTGAAGTAAACATAAAGTTTATATAACATAGTAAAGTGATATACCTATAGTCATTAAAGCATATAATCACTAAAATCAATTACTTATAATCGATGATGATATCAAAAATTATTACATATATATAGATTCTGACCTTATGAAATACTTTCAATTCATAGAATACTTTCGTGGTTCTAACCAGATTGGGATTATCTGATCAGATAATCATATTCGTAATATGAATATTATAACGATTAAATCATCTCTTTTAATCTTGTTTGTTCCTACCGTTTTGATTACAAGACCATATAGCTTGAATGTTTGAAAGATTACTTTTCACATTCTGTCCAGATTATCCAACACTCAAAATCCCTATCGTCCTGTTTCTTCCTAGAGTTTCAATTCCAACATAAATTAGGTTGAATCTTTTTATAGCATATGGACAACACCATATAAACTTACGAAATAATTTCAATTTTCAGATTACTATTTTTGTTTTGTCCATATTAGCCAATTCACATAACCCTTTTAAGTAAATTAATTCTTTATATATCATATGGCTAAAATGAGTACCAATTCATGGTTTTATAAACGTTTAAATATTTTGAACCATTTTCAGTCATACAATATGCTTACTAAATGTGTAGATTCTTTAATACTGATACTTAATATAATCACCAGGTTCAGGCGGAAATCGGGCGACTGAAATTACTACCTCACTCAGATGCTAACGTGATGCGAGTACGTGTACTATATGGGAATCTTTGCGGCTGCATATATGGCGACGAATACTGTGACAACAGCAGAGCAGATCTTATTTCACTGTAACAGTTAGTTCACATTAATAGAAGAAATAATAGCCCAGATTGGTTCAATAAATCCTGAAAATATAGCGGAAAAGACAACAGCAAGCCGAGAGCACTAGCGAATGATACAATCATATGTGATTCAGTTCCTTAAAAGCAAAGAAATTAGATCTTAAAAGGAAAAGCAGAAACTAACCTAATAAATAGTGCAGACAGCAAAAATATTTGGTGAAAAAGTAGAGATCTGAACGCCAACATAAAAGGGACTCCCCTCGAAGTAATGCGAAAGCGGTTCCGATGGGAAATAAGTCTCTCCGAGAAGGTGATGTTTTTGTCCTTATACTATGATATGTTAAAGAATCGGATAGATCAAACATATAAATATATGTCATTCTCATCTCTGTTAATGTTATTATTTTTATCTGCAAATAAACGACAGCTCTAAAAGGTAACAATATTAAAAATTATGTGTGCTTACGAAAGAATCGCTTACAGTGTTCTAATTTATAATGTGAAATATTCAAACCATTATTCCACGCCAAATGGATTACACTTTACCCATTAGCAATATTGTCCTTGTAATCTTCTTTAATATCCAAAAGCCATTAAATGCTACATATTTGCCCATTAATTTATGTAAATCAATTACAAAGTTCTACATTGAAATGAGCTCAAATTGAAAATTACTGATAGTAATTGCATTATTCCATGCAATTTTCTCTCATTTTTTAATTATCACTAAATGACTAAATTAGGTCAAAGTGCATTACGATAACCTATTAGCCTTTAGCTATGTTCAGTCAAATTAGTTTACTTTAATAAAGCCGAGCACTTTCATTTTCATATTATTTTTCCTTCACATTAAGAAATTGATAAAATGACAGCAGAAATTTAATAAATTACCATTAATCCGTTCCATTACTTATATGGTATATGCATTAGTGAATATTGAGAATAAAATTGTAATGAATAATTTATAAATATATAATAATATATATTGAATTATCAACATAAACTTATGAATTGCATTATGAATGCGGTTCATTCGTAATTTACTTAAGGATATAATAATAATAATAATTTATTAATTACGTTTACTACATATGAAGTATAAGTGAAGATATATCTTCAGTTCATACTAAATTATAAAAATTTAATTATGATTGCAGTTAAAATATCTGGGACATATTTCATGTGTGATTGCATACTGGAATAGTAAACAATGGTTATCTATCTTATAGTCACAAAACGAACCGTGAATATAACATACTTGTAATAGAGATTTTTTGTCCATACCATTAAGTATGAAATACCTATAATATCACTAAAGAGTTCCCTATGGAACACTTGATATAATTGGATCGTTCTTCGACAATTTGACGGCTTACAACTAGCAATAGCTCTGTTATAATTTGACAGATGTTCATTTTTAAAGTGTTGGAAATTTGAGGACTATCCGCACAAATTCGATTCATTGTATAAGCCCACAACAAAAAATAAAAAATAACTAATCGCATGATTTTGCTGGCAAACTCCCTATACCATAAATGTTCTAGGGGAACTTTATAAGGAGATAGATGAAAATTCGAATGCTAACTAATATGCCATAATATGCCGCAATATAAACCAAATGTTCTGTGGATCCGTAAAGGACAGTTTTACTAACATAAGTTTGTTATATATAGGCATTAACATATCAGTTATGGATCCAGTACTTAAGAATGTCTTTACAGTTTTGCCTGTAGCATAAAATACAAACACGAATATATTAGTCCTTATAATGCAATATATGTTAATATTATTTATAGCAGGATTATTATTGTAGTATGTTCATGCAATATAAACACACCTAAGAGCTTTAAGAGATCAATATTGTGAATTAATAAATCTTTAACTAAATATATGATGCCTTGATCACTTGACTAAAACAACGCATTCAAAGTCACAGGCCGTGTGCGAGTTCGGGTAAATTGATGATAAATTGAAGAAAATAGTACATTGGTATTTACCATAGTTTCGAGTAGGATAAATTAGATAAAAATTAGATAAATTTAGTATTACCATAGTGAAAATTTTATATGTTTAATAACCAAAAATAATAAATAAGTGCAATAAATAAATATTTATGTATGTAAGTGCAATGCAAATAATCCGTAGGAAAATTTAATTTACTTTACCTCAATTTACTCGAACCCGCACACGGCCACAATCATGAAATGGATAACCTTTAATATGTATATTTATACTTTATTAAAAAAACTTTTAACACCTGGTCACCTATGCCACAAAGTAAATCAATATCGTTGCATACTTTTCTGCTGATTTTTTATGGAAACAGAAAAACCATAAGCTCTGTCTATAATCTCTGTTTATAATTGAACAGATTATAAATAATTTTATATTTTTAAATTCAAATACTAATTAGTGACTTGAATAAAATACTTTCTTTTATGCAAAATCGTAATTATAAAAGTATGTTGTGGGAATTGGCTTTGCGATCTAGAGACGACATTATTACCTAGACACGACATTGGGACCTAGACACGAGATTGTAACCTAGAGATGACATTGTAACCTAGGTGTGACATTGCGCCCTACTGTAATTGGACAAAAAACAGTAATAAATTTTCTTTTTATTTTTGCAAGATATATACGTGGATAAAATGTTTCTATAGGTAAAATCTCATAAGCGAATAGGTATGTAGTAAGAACTGGCATACCATATTTGTATCATTACAGAATGATAATATTAGCAGAAGAAAAATTAGTTGGCGAATAAAAATCGGATTGAAAATTTCTGAAGAAAACCTTCTTACAAACATTAACAATGTAAAAATTTACAATTTTAGATAGAAACAAAAGTATAGATTCAAAATTGCATTCATTTTTATTTTTAAAATAAAATTATTAGGTGCTAAGTTTTTAGAAAGTCCTTAACAAATTTACATAAGTCCCTCAATACAATTTTCAAAATTGTAAACTACTTCACAAGCGTTTTCTCCTTTAACGCTAGCACATTTCTCCAATGCGGGCTTAATTTTTGTTTTATCAGTAAATACACGTTCCATATATTTGTATATAACCTCTGGCTTCTGTTTGCCGCTCTCATCAATCAAACCCAAATTTTTGTAAAAGCAGAGTACATAGCATTGCAAATTCTTCGACACCGGCTTACCATCAGATTTGATTTCTGTAGCGCCACTAATAAGACTTGCCTCTTCAGGAGTCAAACCGATTTGCTTCACACAAGCATCCTTCAATTTTGCCATAGCAGCAGTTTCTTCAGGAGTAGCGGCCTATGTTTGGGAGAACATTTTTTTTTGATGAATTGATTTATTAATTATTACAATTATTTTTATATATGCTTACTTTTATATCATTTATAAGGACAGCAAAGCCTAAAACTAGCACTAAACAAGCTGGGATGATACTCATTTTCTGTGTTTCAAAAGTTAAGCTTATTGCGAATGACATTTCAACTGCCAAACTGTGGCTTAAATAGTAAATTTAAACATTTTTTGTTAAAATTCAAATAATTGCCTAAAATTATTTTTTGAAACATTTTAAAAATTATTAAAATTATTTCAATAAATTGAATTTAATATTTAATAAAAACAATCCAATTGCACTAATCGCAACCACTTATTAAACGTTTAAAAATAATTTCAATTGTGAAGAATACTTATAATTTAAATTTTTTTGTGCTTAAAGAGTTATTTAATTTTTTTCTTTTTTTTTTCGTAGTTGCTATAAAAGTGTTAAAATAAATAAAGTAATTTTCAATAAAATGCAGGCAACCATGAAGTCGACAACATCAGCAAAGCAATTTATATTATTGCTGGCCGGCATCGTTGGCATATTGGAAATTGGCTACGTGAAAGCCAATTCAGTGAGCATAAATTTTAAATTAATTTCATGTTTTTATTTCAGTTAATGTGTATGTATAATCTGGTTATCATATCTTTTTACATTTTTTCACATTTTCATAGCCGGAAAATGCTGAACCTGATGCTGCATTACAGCAACTGCGTTTGGCATGTAAAAAGTCAACGAATTTGTCAGATGCGGACTTTAATCTGATGTTAGCAAATAAATTATTCACATGGAATACAAGTGCTAATGCAGCCGCTACAATACCCAAAACTGTGAAATGCTATACCGCATGTTTTCTGAAGCGATCTGATATCATACTTCCCGATAATAAATTGAATGAGGCACATATAAGACAGATGATAACTATGCTCACAAGAAATCCGAATAAAGCAAACGCTACGGTTGAGAAATGTCGGAATTTTATTGGAAGTGATGAATGTGAAAGAGCCTACGGTTTTGAGCTTTGCTTGATAGGAGAAACAGGACTTTACTTTTTATAAATAAATTATATCTATATACTTTATCTGCTATTGTATCTAAATTATTAAAGCATATTGAAAAATAATAGAATTGAAATTTGACAATTAAAAAACATAATAACAATTAATTAATTCAAAAATTCTACAACTGGTTTTTGGCTACATTCGTAAATAATACAGCATATAAATCCGTTAATGAATTTTCAAAGCAAATTAACAAAATTCCAACTTCGAATATACAAGTCAAGTATAGGTTTGGGTCAGTTGGGTTGGCTAATAAGCACTGACTCTGAGCTTCAAATTTTGCAGGATACGAGTTTAACCCTTGGTAGTTACAATCTAAAAAAATTATTTACGAATAATTAAAAATAACAAATAGTTCCAAGATCACCAATGAAGGGTATTTAGCAATACCCAAAAACAGCTCCATGATCCACCAAAAATTCAATTAATTAAAATAATAAAAAATTTTTGTTGTTATTGTTTATTACACGAAGTGATAAAGTCGATTAATGTAATAGTCTGATACTAAACCCAAAAACTATTACGTGGTTAAAAATACTCAGCTCGTAATCATTTGCTTTCAAAATTTTAATTTGATATCATTCTTTTCACTAAGAAAGATACAATCTAATCGCAACAGGCGACCAATATATTGCTATCATCATAAAAATTTTATGGAATTCAAAAAATTTTTGTGCAATTATTAAAAAAATATAGTAAAAAATAGTATAGTAAAAAACGTGTACTATATTTTTATTTAAAAAATAAAACAGATATTTGAAATAAAATATTTGGTGTTACATCCCATATGTAGTTTCTTCTTAGTTTAAGCGGTTATTGTTTAGTTTAACCTTCTTTTTTCATTTTATATCTTCAATTTTTCTATATATTAATTTATAGTTCTTCTTCCGGTATTCTTTTATCCAAAATCACTGATTTTGGTAACCGTCCCGTACGAAAACAAGTACCTACTCTATAAGCTGCTTCACAAGGATCACTAATTCCTACTGTAGCATTTTTACATTTCGGCAACAATTTCTGTATAAAAACATTGTGCTTATCACTTGAGTCATTCAGTTCATCAAACAAAAATTGTCCATCACGTATTATTCGAAGATCTTCCATCACACAAAGCCAAAAACATTTCGCATTACGATCCATCGCCTCATCGATTGATTCAAATGAGAGCTCCAGCACATCGTCCTCTGTCATGTTATATTTACTAGCACAATCCATTACAGATGATGTCAAATACACATATGGAATTGCTAGGCAGTATTGTAGGATTACTACCTAATAGAAAATATACTCCTTAACTAGTTAGATTTTAATTTAATACTAAAATTACTTACAAGTATATGAATTTTTATAAAAAAAATATCTAAACTTTGCATGGCACTTTATTTGAATTGCACTTTCAACTAAACTGCATAACGAAAATATTAGTTTGCTTTTATATGATGTGAATAATTTTATAAATAATTAGAGCTTTGGAAGTAAACAATATTACTGAGAATATGTAAATACAAGTGTTTTTTAAAGATAGAATTGCAAGACACAAGCTTTGCAGTCATTTTGCAGTCATTTTGCAGTAATGAGCACAAGACCCTGAATATTGTTTAAATATTTGTATCAGAAAAAATTAGAACAATCTTTAAATTATTTCTAGTAAAATATACATTGCAAAAATAATACACACAATTTCTTACTGAGTGCTAATATTGAAGATAGAAGTGAGAAACTCCTATATGTTGGGTGGCTATTACTTAAATGGCTGAGAAAAATTAAAACATTTCGATATATTCATATATGAAGAATCCAAAAAGTGCAAAAGTTGCAATTGATTTTCAATAAATAAAAATTTTATCCAAAATTGTACTTAAAAGCCACAGATACTTTTAATCACCCTATATATTTCAATGCACCCCACAAAACAAATAAACTTCAGTACTCCGACAATAACGTTCATTACATCCTTATAATAATAGCAATGATACTAAAAACATGTGAAGACTAAGACCTGACATACTCAGTATAAGAATACCAAAATCTTAAACACGAAATATCGATAATAATGGAACCCAACAGAAAATACCAAACGGGTCATGAAATTGGCGAAACTTAATAATAATTTAAAAGCAAAATAATAACTAATATTTTTAAATAATTTACGAAAGTTCAAATTTTTAGTTCTAAAACTTTTTAATTGTTTAATTTAAATAAAATTAAGACAATTTTTTCTAAAAAGTAGAACGCGTATAGCTTTCCCCTTAGCCACAACTTGACCAGTAGTAATAATTAATTTGCATCAATTTCGTTTTGCTTATCCATATCTGCACCGGTACCATCAGTAGTAGTATCGGTTATTTCAGCATCATCCATATCTGAACGATTTCCATACTCCAATATTTTACGTATTCTTCGTTCTGCTTCCAATGTCTTCAATCTACTCAAGCACATATGCATTTTATAAGAAACTTCACACTTATTATCGCTGTCCATGTTCATACATTCAGAAATTTTTGTCTTCTGTCGCTCCATCACAGAATAAAGTTTACTGAAAAATTCACGTTCCACAAACATTCCATTCTTCACTAGACCCATTTGCTCATATAAACAATGTGTAAAACATTGCAAGGATTCCTCGTTTCGTTCACTAAACGTTAAAGGAGAATTGGCATCATAGTCTTCGATATTAAATTGATTATCGTCGATATTTTGATCATCTCCTTCTATGCTGGTAACCACTTCTGGATCGTTTGTTAATAAGCTAATGCGAAAACGTTCTAACTCAGCCATAGAAATTTCAGTTTCTTTTATACAAGTTCGTAACATATCAGTGGAGAGGCTAGGCTTTGGAGGATCAGTAAGGGCCAGTGATAAATTGAATGAAACCGATAAAGAACGGCTCTAGGAAAGAAACAATATTATTCATATTATATTATGCTTGAAATACTTTACTTACAAAGGATTCTTTCACAAGACAGCATATCACTGTATACAATAAACCCGTTGCAAACATTGAGAAAATTATATTTTTTTTCTGGAATAAATATTCATCCGATTGATGAATTGAACTTCTATTCACTAAATTTTGAAAATATTATTAAAGTCGTGGCCTTAGGTTACCTTAATTTATAGCCAACTTTTTTAATGATTTCAGTTAAATTTATTTTAAGATAAAAATTATTGATTGTTTTGTTATTAAAACTAAATTTGTTTTTAATGATCGATTAATGGTTGTGCAAAATATTAAAGAGTTTATGGTTGAATAATTTTTTTCGTTAAATAAGCACATTTTATATACTAAAATCGCCAAACTATAAATGAGTCAATAAATCAATATATATATAAATGTTTTTAAGTTTTATTAAGCAGATTTGAATAATTTAGAAATGTTAATTACATTCGTATATGTCCCGACCACTGCTTATAAGAATAATATATGCTCCCTTAATATTCACTTAGCCCTTATACCTATAATATTTATTGTGTTTTAATACTAGAAAAATAAATTTTACTAACATCAATTTTAGTATGATAACAAAATGAAAGAATTAAAATATATATATGTATATATTATAATAGGTGCAGTAAAACGAAATCCCATATTTTTGCGTGCAATTGAAGTCTGATTTACCATAGTTATAATGATCCGATTGAGGTCAAATATACGTCGTTTTGTTCGATGACTTGTTGCCATTTTGAAAGTAATTTCATTATCCTCTCTCTCAATGAAGTCCTCGTCTTTGTTGGCAAAAAATTAAGACAGTCGATTTTCACAAGACTCTCTTGAAGGTAACTTTTTTAATGCCAAGTCTGAGCTATAAGAATGATGCATAAGAACTTCCCAACCAAGCTTCTAGAACTTTTGGCGAGTCATTATCGATGTGTGTCGATTAGCGTTGCCCTCACGGTGTGTTGTGGCAACATCGAACATCTTTATGTATCCAATCTTATTCAAATGGTTCCAAATGATTTGATGTGCAAACTTAAGCTCTTAGGCAATAGAATAGTGACGATGACTTACATGTCAGTCTGATTCAAGAATTTTTATGTTTTTATCTATATTTTCAGCAATTGGACTTCCAGTATATGGTGCATCTTTGACATCCAGGTGACCGGAATCAAATCGACGAAACAAAAATTAGGCATGATTGACTGTTAGAGCATCAGAACCATAAACACTGTTCAGTCTGATCAACTATACTCATCTGTTGGAAAAACGATGGACTTCTTTTTGCTGTACTTAATATATTGGGTTTGCTGAACTGAAATTCAGTGGTTTCAGCAGTAAGTTTCACTTGCGTCTCTCGACCGGAGATGTAGATCTGGTACGATGAGCTGTATCAGAACACACAGCTTTAGTAGTGTTAACCAATAAAAGTTTTTCCTGGTAATGGGGGTATTGTGGGGACTATGGTTGAAACCCGAAGACACATAATTAAAGTGACTATATTAATTTATTTTTATTCAATTTGAAGTTCCATTTTTCAACTGATTATTGGGTCGCAAAGAGGAGCAGAAATGTTAGATAGGCCACGCTTTTTCTCAAAGAGGAAACTATAGTTTCAAATGGTCCCGGTAGAGTTTCTTGTAATTCATTAAGCAAAACCGTAAAGCTTTTTTTTACAAAATCAACTTTATTACTCCAAATGTTCTCTTTCAAACTCAGTACAGTAATTTGAAGAGTATTAAAGTTGGTCAGCAAATCGTTCAGGATGTCGTTATAAATTTCTCACATCCATTAAAGGTATTTATTTTACTCTCAAATGCCTTTTTCTAAAAAGTTTAAAATTACTTAGTGACAAATTTGATAAATACGAGATATGATTGACTTCGGTATTAGAACTATAAAATAGTTATTAGAAGCACCTATTACTACAAAGACATACTTGTCTTTAAAAATGTCTTCTAGAAATAACAAAATTTGACCAACTTTACAACTATGATCCAATCAAATCTTAATTAAATTTCATAAATAATCCTTTTGAAAAGCCCAACGTTCTTACGTAGTACTTAATTGAATCACTACTTGGTTATGCCTAGTAAAAAAGTTGTTAAAAAATAAAAATTAAAAGTTGTACGAGTTGAGAGCTGATAGCTGAGGCGGGAGTCAGTAATTAATTTAAACCATAACTCCAAGATTGGAAGTTAACATTCACTTAACGCATCATAAATCATAAATCAAACAAATTATATACTTTGCTTTTTGCATTTTCAGCATTCAACCAAAGTTGATTTTACAAATTCATTAAAAAATTATACAAAAACATTAAAATCAGGCATTTTCACATCAACAGAAAAAAATTACAATAAAAATCAAAGAAAAAAAGTTTGTTAAATAAAAATTTATTACAAAATATATGAAAAGCGCAAAATAAACAACAACAATAAAAATGAAAAATTGTGATTAATTACATTTTAAATTTTGCTTATAAATTATAATTACTTTCGACATCGAAAACAACCAAAACCATTGCCGGCAAAAATGAGCAATGAAAACAGCAAAAATCACAAAACCTGTCAACAACAGAAAAAAGTTAATTTTTTAATGGTTTCGCATTAAAAAAAGGTTTCGCATTTTTTTAATTATTATTCATATTTAACAATACATAATACATAACTAATGGGAAGTGTACATAAGCCAAATTGTTTATACACGCAAGTGAACAATTTATTTGTATTCTTATTTTTTAACCTGGAAATTTACTCCAAACAATACGAGAAGTCAACCATTCGCAAAAAAAATATATATATACTTTTTTATGCATCCAAATGAAGTATAGTACTTCTGCATTCTTAAGTTTTTTCAAGACTACGTATATGTAATATATTTAAGTATATTAATATATATATAAATATACTTCATATTGTTTACTTAAAAATTGAAAGTTTATAAATTACAATATGTTAGAAATAATGTTTCTGAAGTTCTCTCTGTCTTTAGCAGCATGTACCAATTCTCCAATCATTCTTAATCCAGTCCATTGTCAGATGTTCTTTAACTAAGACATTTGTTTTCTTCCTATGCCGCGTTTGCCTTCGATTCTACCTTCCACAATCAGCTGCAGCAATTCATATATTAAACCAATATACCTAGTTTTTCTTATTTTGATAGTCTTTAGGAGTTGTAGCCTAGAGTGCCACAAATATATCTTCACATTTCTTATAGTATTCACATCTATATTCATTAACGCTTAATGATGTAGTCTTCAGCTCCATAACCCTAACTTTGTGACTTCAGTCGGATTAAAATGGATATCACAAACTGTATTGAAATTTTTATTTCATAAACAGAAGAAAGATACACAGAACTCTTTTAATTAACGCTTTATGATATAGTCTTCAGCTCCACAAGTTCAACTGTGTGAATTGAGTCAGATGAAAATAGATATAGGTAGATTGATAAGTACCTATCTTCACAACAAATGGCAACGCCAGAAGAAAATCAATTCTATTTTATATGTCTGGAAATTTTTAAACGACAGCTCTTAAAGTTTCGACTGCATCATATAGTTAGCTTTTTGCAAATAATTGAAATAATGCAACGTGGTAATTTTTAATAAAATGAATGAAATTGAATATAGTTCAGTAATAAAATTCCTTTAAGTGTAAGTACTTTAAGTACTCCACTTAGAGTCACGAACTGAATGAAAATTTTAGTTTTATAAACCGTAGAAAGATATACAGAACCAAATCTGGTTAATACATCCAGACAGCGATCTTTTTATTCCCGTACATTCAATTAAAAATGTATTTTGCAGCGCGATGTGGTCATGTAGAATCCACAAAATGTTCTTCCAAAAACCCAACAATTTTTAGTGGAGTCTTGAATTATATTTTGTATTAACTATACAGAAATAATATTAAATAAATAATAAACCTTTTAATAATAAACAAAAGGTTTGTTGTTGTAATTCACTACTGTTCAAAATACGTCTCTACTAGAGACGTAGAATTTTGATTCAAAAACAGCTGTTAATTTCAGTGTAATCTTACTACTCTGGCAACAAATCTAGAGTGTTATAAATTAATCTCAAGTGTTATATATTTCACTCGAGTTTTACCATTCAAAAAAGAAAATTGCACTAAAAGTGAGTCTCGAGTAAAAAAGTTACACTAGATCTACCAACCGAAAACGGCTTAAGAATACCTGCCAATTTTATTTATCGATTTTAATTAAAGTAATGTAACTAAACACCACAAATTCATTTCAATTAATATTTGTAACAATTAAGTTCGCAATAATATGTGGTTAATAATACTTTTTGGAGAGTGCAAACAACCCTAAATATTTTTTCTCAACTTTCCCAAAAACGAACTGATATTCTATCTTCTCAATGCATTTTCATTCCCTTCACTAGATTTAGTGATGATACCATTTTTTTCTCAATACAAAACTATTAACACAAAAAAAAGAAATTTTGCTTAAACAGACAAGCAAGTCGACAGGCGGAAGTGACAAAATGAATTATACGAGTGCGTCCATCATCATAGCCTTTTAGTTCGAAGGATATATTTTCCCTTGTAATAAAGGAAGGACATATCAAAAAAAGTTGAAATTTTATTAGCTGCATTGTTTGCTGCTCAGACTACGTGTCAATCTGTTCAAGTCAATTTCATATAAAATAATACAACTGTCTTTTGTAAAAATTCAATTTCTTTCTTGCACTTCTGCAAATATACAGACACGATATATAAATGAATCAGTTGGTAATTTTGTTTCCTGTTTTCTTACTTTTCATGTACATGTGCCTACGTCTTTGCCATTGTTTTTTCCGGTTGTACTTCCGGCGTATGTCTGCCTATTGTCTAGCCATTGTCTTCCATTCTCGATGACAAATATCTCCAAGTTGCAGTGAAGCATTCACTTTACGAACTCACATAAACATTTGCAGTTTCATATAGAAAAAAAAAATTAGTGAAAAGCAAGTATTGAACTGTCTTTAACCCCTGCTTTTGAAAGAAAACTTTAAAGTATAGATATTAAGGACCACTATATGTACTTAACAAATTAAATTGTATTAATTGATTAAAGCGGATTAGGAAAAC